CTGATGAATGTAGTATATGTTGTTATGGAATTTTACGGAGCCTGGAGGCACTGTAGTCCTTAGTTATCACCCGTGACTTGGATAATGTATACCTGCTGAGTCTCTGTTTTGGATTGACACAGCTGAACCAAATCACTGTATCCTCAATATCTCTTCTGTTCCCACTTTGTCTTGTCCCCACCAGCCAACACTCCTCTGGTCCTTCACTCAATCCTCTCCTTCCTCCTCCTCCTACTTCCTCCTCCTCCGCTCCTTTTTCTCCTCCTCCTCTTTTTCCTCTCCCTCTCCTCCCGCTCCTCTCCTCTCCTCCCCCTCTCCACATCTGTCCTTTTAACATTAACTGATGCGGTGAACAATGATACCAGAAAGCATAATATTTTTATTTCTGTAACTTTCACAGACTATCAGTGGAAGTACATTCATGATGTGTATAGTTTATAATGGAAGGGGTATAAATGTTGCAATCAGTTGTGTGTCATAAGATCTAATTCTGAACGGTAATGAAATGAAATTGCAATGTAGGTGTGATGAAGGTCATTTATGGATGTTTACAAGTAGACACTGCCTCTAGAATTCATCGTTTGGAAGAACCACCTGACGTAGAATATGCACATAAGATTTTACCCTGAAGTTGTACATTCATTAAACGTAATCAGTACTTCTCTTGGTTTATCAGTCTCCTCTCATCAGCTTTTATTAGTATATCTTACTATAGCTAAAATCAGCTGTATACAGTACAGTAAAGTTTCGTCACTTTCAGAATCATCAGTGCAGTGAAGTGAGCAGATGGAGGTAAAATTTAGGGGTTGTCCGTCAACCATGTCAAGAAGTCTTTAAACTGAAAGTGCCTGGCAATGATTTGTCACGTGCACACATGAGTCCGAACTGTATCTCAGAAAGTGACCAAATTGTAATCTAGAATGTACCGTTGGCCGCACAATTCTGTAAACACTCCCAAAAACAAGCATAAGGGTCATTGCATGGAGCTCAAGTTGCAAAGGTCGATCAATATGATTTGCGGTTAGTTTAAATTTTACAGTTAGGTTGTTATGCAGACCAGGGATTAGGAAGTTAGGAAGTGTTGTTGTGACTGAAGGAGACAGTGTGGCTGTGATACAGCATACTTACAAGCTAGCAACACACAGCTTTTATCTAGCAGTTTTTTGTTTCGGGACACTGCATGTCCGAAATGGTTGACCAGTGGGTTCAAAAGAGAATCATGTGCTCCTTTCTTTTTTTTTACGTCAGGAAGGACTTTTACCTGCTGGGTTCTTTAATAGAGCTGTTATTGACCCTTCTTAAGCCTCGCCCCCTTTTGGAACCTTCACCTTTTCTCCTTTCCTGTACTGAGATGTGCTATGTGTTTGGCTCGCCCATGCTAAAAAAGACAAGCACATTTTGAAGAGAGTTATAAGATAAAACCTACATATAGCAGAACGCTAGCTAACTAGCTTACTAACTAATCTACATCAATCGTTGGCTAACTAGATAGTCCAGGAAAGGAGAAATCTGACTGAGGCCAAGTTTGGAAAGGGGCAGGACTTAGCAGTGACGACTCTGCCGTAGCTGGAAATTCATCATTGTGTATCGGCAGGACCAGCAGCCAATTAGTGATCATGTGACAGCCTGCTACCGGCCGACTGGTGACCTCATCACCGAGGATACCACTGAGGTTGTTATTGGTAAATTGCTGTAGTAATTTTTTTTATTATTAATATTTATAACCTTGATTTGAGTTTCAAAGGCTAATAACTGATCTTTTAGGCATAGACGTGTCTACTTTTATTCTCTCTTCTTTTGTTTAAAATCGGTCAGACTGCTTGTTGGACAGCTCATATTGTTTCCCTGTGAATGAGCCGTCAGTTATTATATCTGATAGAAATGATGAGCAACGTGACGAGAAGAAGACCCTGGGCCAGATGCATATAACTCTGTAGCTCCACAACTCTTTTTGTCAGATTCATTGTTGAAACGGGCCCGAGAGCACAAGCTTCATTTCTAATCCAAGAAAAGTTTAAACATCTGTTTGCATATCTATACTTGTGCCTAGTCCACCACTGATTAGACCTGTCAATGAGAAGAACAGCACATAAAAGACAGTACAACTGATTGGGTTGAATCTGCAGCAGAAAGTGTCACTGACCAGTGATATACTGGTTGCATTGACCAACAGTCCAGATACCCTCGATCACAGACCTGATCTGCGGCGTAAAGGCTGTGATACAGGGCAGGTGTTTGGATTGGATCAGGCCCAACTGCCCTCTGCTAGTATGGGAAAATCTAATCAACAGAAGGTTAAGAAAGAGGTGATAGTTCAGACCACTAGCATGACAGCAGTTATTTCTGATGCAAGTCATGGGTACCACCTTCTGATAAGCCACCGTTTATAAAGCATAATAACTGAAGGCTTAATAAATGATGTACTAATGAGTCATAGATCAGTTTATTTAAGAAGTTATAAGTCATAAATAAGAACGACTTCTTGGGTTGGCAGCTTGAAAAAATTCCCAGCAGTCTTTTTAAATGTTCATCTTATTTACACATGCATATGTGAAGAAATGTGTGTTTCGAAGTAGTATTCATGCAGTTTGGAATGAGTAGGAAATATGCGATTATACCAACCTAGCTAATGTCCCCTAGCATAACATTTAGTGATTTGAGGTATATTATATTACATTCCTTTGTATTTTTATATGACATAATACAACTGATAACTGGATGATTATCCCCCCCAAACAAGCAACCAAGGTCCTGCCCCTGATTTCTCCTCCAATTGCTAGGAGGGCTGAATCTGAGGTACCAAAACTGCTGCAGTCAGAGTCTTAGTGAACACTGGAGTTACAGCTAAACTCATTTCTAAGCTAAGCTACAGCTTGTTCGTCTTATTAGCTCAGCATCAGGTACACTTCTGTGAAGAGAAGTAAATGTAAAGTAAATTGTGTAACAGAATGATGGCCAAACGTCAGGGAGAAGAAAAAACTGACTTTGTCAAAAAAGAATCCTATTAAGTCTGTATGATTGTTAAAAATAATAAAAATGCAGACAGAAAACGTTCCCTAAACAAGAACTAATCTGCTCAAAATGAATCCAGGTCACTGGTTTTACACAAACTTCTTCCAGTTACTGAATTCACTGTTTGGGTTAATGTACAGTTTTGAGTATGATGGTGTATTAACGTTATATAACTGCATTATTACCTTATAGAAAGGTTAAACATACAGCAGGTCAGTGGGGTTCTTCACAAGCTGCCAACCCAAAATGTTTCCTCATTAATAACCAATATTTAAACATTAGTCAATGATTCATTAACCGTTAATAAGCCATTAGCTACACTTTATAAAGCCTTTATGAAAGGTTGCCTTGTTCACCCACAGTACACAAACATGCTATCTATCAGCATGCTTCCTGCATGTGACGGTGCATGCTCCACCTGTACTCGCCGCTGCAACCACAGAGCTCCACACGGTGGCGCAAGCCAGCAGACTGACGCCGGCCGGGTTCAGGTGTGACCTGCTATCAATCAATCGTGGTGGAAGCGAGGATCAGTCAGGCATCGGCCTGCTTGCAGGAAATGATGCATGAAGAGTAAAAGGCTGAGGAAAGATGTCCCGTTGCTGCACTACTGACAGTATGGTGCTGACATCATCCTCCTTCCCTCTATGTCGCCTGTGTTCCACTTCAGTCTTATAATCTCTTACTCACCACACAGACCAGTGAGTGCAAAGGCGAATCACTTTGAGCATGGCGAGCTTTACATATCCAACTTAAAGACGTGAATGATTCTGGTGTCTTTGTGCTGAGGACGTCAGTGTCCCTTTAGAGCAAGAATGACAGTAATAATAGTATTACAGTGTTTAGACCAAGCACATGGGAGATGTTCTAATATAGTCTAGCATTAATATTATCCAGAGGGAAATAACATTCAGATGGATGTATCTGTTCTTCTGGTGGTGATGAATTATATAATGATAATGATGACTGTGGATTGTTAAAGACCCTCTTTTGTTTTTGTTTTCTGTCTCTTTTGGGGTTGTGAATAATTAAACAGAAGTTGATCTAAATCGGAACGCTCTGAGTCTTCATTTCCAAATACTGAAGTGCTGCCCGTTGGTCCACATTGAAGAAATTACACTTTTATTGGGGTTTGTCTGTTATTTTAATACAAATCCTTTTAAATGTACAATATGTAATTTATGCCGCTAGGAGCAACCTGTACAGTGTGATCCACCAGTGCNNGGACTTTACAGTGAAGGAGGAGACATCTTGTGTCCAGCAGGAAAACAACATTTACATATTCAGAGATTCTTTAATGAGGTAGCAGGAGTTTACGGTCTGTATGTATGTCTTAATACAAGTTGGAGGGAATCTTTAATTTGTATGAAGTCAGTCTGGTCACATTAAATGTCGTTAAACAGTGAAGCACTTTAATCAGACATTTTAGATTATTTGACTGTGAGCTGCAGCGTGAGCACCGATCACACCTACTGTACATCCACCTACACTACACAACTATTCTCACCTACACAGCACGATCTGTGGTGACACCCAGCCAGCAAGGCGTTTCTGGTAAATGATCAAAGTGTAAAAGCAAAACTAGATTTGATCAAGGGTCAGTTGCTCGCTGCGTTATATGACGGAATTTTAATGAATATGTGAAGCTCCTTCTTGCTCACAACAGAGATCTAGGGTAGAAAAGTGTAGTGTCTGACAAAGTGTGAATGTAAGTGTTCAGTCAGATGGAAACCTTTAAGCCATGTTAGCCAGGGTTTTGATCTCATCAGACCTTTATGACCCC